TTTTTTTTTTTTTTTTTTTTTTGTTTAAAACTAATTTCTTTGAGTTTTTGAAGTTTAATAATTAGAGTATGAGATCGAATCATCGATATTTAAAATGATAATTATGTATTTATTTACTGAGCTATGTTCAAATTGGTTTCACTAGTTTATCACTAATTTTTTCGAATTTTTAAAGTTTAATAATTGGAGGAGTAAGAGATCGAAGCATTAATGTATTTATTTACTGAACTATGTTCAAATTGGTTTCACTAGTTTATCACTCATTTCTTCAAGTTTTTAAAATTTAATAATTGTAGAAGTAAGAGATCAAACATCGATATTTAGAATGATAATGATGTATTTATTCACTGAACTATGTTCGAATTGGTTTCACGTTAAAATTTTAGCCTCTAATGTTAAAAGGTGGAAAAAATAAAATGTTGGTATATTTTAAAGAAAAAAAATCAATTTTTACTTATAAACTCAAGAGGGAGAAGAGAGAAGAGGGAGTTAATTTAGTTCAACAGTTGTTAGTTAGAAATCGAGTCATGGATTCCCAGTGACAATTAACATGTTATTTACTGAGTTATGTTCAAATTGACTCAACTTTTACCACGAGTTAAAAAAAACGAAAGAAAATACTCGACACCTACTAATACATAAAGAATAAATTTTTACCTTAAATTGATTGAACTTTATTTATCAATAATTAAAATGTTACCGTAAAAATAACGTATGATTTAGATTCATCTCATGGTCGTTTAATTTTATGAGACTGGTCTCGCGGTAATATTTAACTTTTAAAAAGTAGTTTAAAATAACAGTAAAAAGTAAAAATAATGTTTGGTTGGATTAAAAAAAAAAGTAATTAATAAATGAGAAAATTAATATGGTTGCTTACTTAGAAGACAATGCCACCTCAAAAAAGAAATAAATTTTCTATAATAATATATTAAAGACAAAATTCCCTCACCTAATAATTGATTGATTAAATTTTTAAGAAAATTACAATTATTATTATTACTATTATTATTATTATATTTAATACAAAAGGAGGCCATTAATTACTTTATAATTAGATTAATATTTGTATTAATTAAATAAATAATAATTACCTTTCTCTAATGGCGATGAGGAAGAAGTTGTTGGTATCTCAATTCATTTTTTGGTGCTCAGCTGCAACTCTTTACAAGCCTTCTTCTTTAACCTATCTCTCTCGATTGAGTAGTACGTGCTCGAGTTTTGAAATTTGTCAACGTCGATATAGTTTGATCGGTAAAAACCCTTATAGCTTCGATTGAGATTTTAGGGTTTTGAATTTTTTATCCTCACGTGTTATTGATGTGAAGAAAAATCACTGAGGTTTTGTCAACTTGAGCATAGTTCAATTAGTTAAAGTATCATAACATCGACTAAGACGTTTGAAAGATCCCTATCACACATCTCGGTCGTAAATACTCGAGCCTTTGAAATTTGGGTAACTTGAAAATATAGTTCAGCTCGTTTAGGTATTATAATATCGATTAGAAGTTCAAATCTCCATCCTCAAAAGTTGATAAACTCTCTCGATTTTGTAGAACATGCTCGGACTTTTGGAATAACTTGACGATTTGAATATCATTCAACAACTGGCTACCGACGTCAAATATTCAGATCTTTTCGAAGTTTTATTCTCCGAATATTGCACAACACAATAGAATTTTCTTAAGAAAATATTACACCAAAAAGTGATAGCCTCGAAGAACGAGTCTATAACTTTTGTTTCAACCGTCCAAGCTACAAACACTTGAAACCCAGTATACGAACTCTTGTTATGCGAGTCATATAAAGTTTCGAGACTGTGCTTTTCTGTAATTGGGGTCGGGAAGAGAATTCAGTGTGATTATAATTCATTCATGTAGACATCATTATTTCTCCAACCTCGGTGTTTATCCCGTGAATTAACTTATTTGCTTATTCCATATTCCGGCACTAGAACAAGCTACTTTTCTCGATACTCACGTAGCTACGATCAATCGAAATGAACATAACCCGAAAAAAATGTTTTTTTTTTAAACAATTGAATCTGCCGACACTACATATGAAACTCAAAAGACATTGACTTGTGTCCTTATTTAAAAGCATTAGCTACACCTTTCTTCACCAAAAGGAACAAAGACAACGACAGATCCCTAATGTCCTATTCTCTTTGATGTTAATGGATGCCCTTTTTAATATTCCAAAATTAAAATTAATTCCTTTTTTTTTTTTAATTGTCGGTGCTAATTATTATTAATCAAGCCCTTTTCTGTAATTTCATAAATATTTTTAAAAAAATTATAGTCTATGATCATGTTTCTTCAAAATTTATAAGATTGGATTTTACCAAAATGCCCATAATGAGCTGCAAAATATATATAAAAGAAATAATGTGAATTTAATTAACTAAATGTATTAATTAATCATTTATTCGAGTTCTCGATTTAAATATTTGTTGTTATTTTAATATGGTTAAATTAATAAAAAAAATATTTATAAACTTTATACCTTATCTAAAAAAAATATTCTTCAACTTTCAAAAATACTCTTTTTTTTTTTTTTTAGAAAATACCCTTTATTTTTTTTTTTCTCGAGGAATTTTAAGAGTATTAATGTTATTTTTTAAATTTTATGGGAGTTTTTTTTTTAAAAAAAAAAACAACAACAACAACACTCGTGGGCCTGTGAGCTACCATGTGACTCATACACGTGTCACAGTGTGGGCGAGCGTGTCGAGACGAGTGTCTCGGGCGACTTTCTTTAAAATGGGTTTTTCAAGGACAGTATTGGGCAACACGTGTGTGCCGGTATTGTGCCCCAGCTCGCGAGTTGGAGGTTGCTACATACACCCGTTATCCGGCACGGTATCCGTAAATAACATAGTATGGGCATGTGAGGGCCAGTGCCTCGATAGAATTTGAATGGATGGATGGATGTTCGGGAAGTCCTGATGAGATGAGCGACATGCGGGCTCGTTCTCGACGGCATGACTAAGTGAGTTGTGATGACCGACGACACCCTGAGACTCGGGAATATGTCAAGACATATGGGTCGTGTCGATGGAGATCAAGATGGCAAGATGAGACGCGATGGTGCATTGAAAGACCTTGGCCCCAAGCAGAGGCAAGATTGAGCCGAGTGAATTGGCCTAGTATAGAGGCAAGTCAGATGTGTCGCAGACGATTGAACATGCACGCGCAGGCGGCGTGTGTGGTCGAATAAACTTGGATTCCGCATAAGTGATGTTTGATTGGCGAAGACAAACCTCGCCTAAGGTCTGACGAAGCCACAAAGCCGGGACGAAAAACATATATGGGGCTTAGTTCCCATGTAGGACCGTGACAACTGAAATCCTTTGAAAGTTCAAAGGTATTTTTAAAACAAATTATTAATTATTTATGTATGGGGCAAGATCGAATCTTTGACCTTTCTTAATCGAGAGAATAGTATATGTCTTAACCAGTTCAATTATATACGTTAAAATTAAAAAATAAAATGAAATGATATAAAAATTATAATGGTGATTAGATTAATAATGATTAGGGCTTAATAAGATAAGAAGTTGACCTAATTTGCTGCAGCTTCAAGCATTGCAGATTACAGGTCCCAAAAATGCCTATTTTTTTAGGGCCTTTTTCAACCTAGGGTTGGTGTTTTATTATTATTATTATTATTATTATTATTATTATTTTATTTTTTATTATTTTTATTATATAATAATAATAATGAATGCAAAACATAATAGGGAAAAACAATGGACTTGACTATAAATGTATACATTCATATATTAAATATTTTGCAATTTAAACAAAACCCTAAATGTCGTTTTAGGTATCTATGACGGGTTTTTTTGAATTTAAATATCTGAAATATCGTTCACTGTTGTTAAATGAGTTTCGGATACGTATGACGAATTTTCTTGAATTTAAATATCTGAAGTGTTGCTCGTTGCTGTTGAATGAGTTTCAGATACTTATGATGAATTTTCTTGAATTTAAATGTCTGAAGTGTTATTCTCTGCTGTTTAATGAGTTTCAGATACTTCTAACGGGTTTTCTTGAGCTTTCAAATACTTTTGATGGGTTTTCTTGAATTGATATGTCTGAAATGTCATCCGTTGTTGTTGGATACTTAGGACGGGTTTTATTGAATTTATAATATGAAATGAGTTTTTAGATAATTACTATGGATTTTTTTAATTTGAATATCAAATTAATTTCACAATATTAGTTGAAAATGAAAAAAAAAATCAACCCATTTGAGCTGAGACAATGATAGAAAAAAAAAATAAAAAA